GAAGTCAACACTACAAAGAACCATAATCTTTAAAAATTATGTGACATATTAAATACAGTCCCAAATGTAAATCCCATGAGAGCTTTTTGATGTCATTATTTATTTATTTCTTGCCAAATGAGTAAAATGCCTATTTCATATTAAGATAGGGAGGCACCTCTGACATATTCATGTGAAACCCAATTAACCCATTTATAAACTACAAAAAAGTGAGCGTTTACTTTTTATTTGAAGTGTCATGTACATAATATAAATTTCATCCACTTAAAAATTTTAATATATTCATTGAGTTCCAACAAAAAACACTATCAAAAAAAAAAAAACAAAACACTGTAGCTATTGGCAGTCACTTTCTAATTCAAATACCTTAAGCCCTTGACCACCGCTATTCTACTTTCTGTCTCTATGGATATGCCTATTCTTGATATTTCACACAAACAGACTCACATAACATGTAACTTTTCGAAAGGTTTAATGACACAAATCTAATGTCCAGGCAAAGGAGTCAGGCACAACAGCAGCAATATCTGCCCTTGGTGGTGTGTGTATTATTCATTTGTAACTCATTTTGAAATATATTTTCATTGTTGAAACAGACAACATAATTCATTTTCAGACTTATGTGATCAAAATATTATTTTTATTTCATAAAATATAAAATTACCTGATAGTCCAAACTCAGGTGTTTGAATTCTGAAATGTATGCTTACATCTATATAGTTGTGGAACTCCACATTTTTCTGCCTCAAGTCGTTGAAAGTGTATCCTTGCACAGTTGTATTGAGCAAAATATTCTTTTATCCTATAGTGAAGAAAAAGCCACAATTCATTTTGCTTTGGGGTAACAATCTGTGAAATAAGAGAATTATCCATGTATTTTAAGAAAATAATACCCTGAAAAGAGGTTAGAGCATTTATCATAGTATAATAGTCTTTAAGTCTCCCCCCTTACTTTGAGGGAGACATTAAGTCCAGTGAATTCCTGAAACCATGAATAGTGCCAATTCTCATACGAGTAAATACTCTGTTTTTCTCTACATACATACCTGTAAATTGGGCACCAGAGTTTATCAATACCCAATAATTTAACATAATAGTTATAGCAATACCCTTACATCACTACTCTCGCATTTGAGGGCCGTATTAAGTAAACTAAGCACTTATTAAGTAACACAGCACTATGAAGACAGTGGATCTGATAACTAGGTGAATATAAGTAACAGACACCAATTAGCATACACAGTATGGATACTACAGAAAAAACAATAATTCATGTTTCAGGTGGGAAAGATCAATACTACCAAAGATTTGATCATGCTACTCAGAGCAGTTCACATTTAAAACTCATGAGTTGTTTTTTCCTGAAATTTTCTACTAATACTTTTGGCTAAGGATGATCCTGAGCAATGAAACCACAGAGAGTGAAATTGTGGTTTAGGGGGTGTAATGTAGCACATTATGTAATATTTATTTCAACATTGCACTACCTTTCAAAATCTTTCCTCATGTCTAAAAATCAACATAAGCTTATTCATAATATTCTTTGAATTTCTCACGTTTATATATTTATTCTCTTGATAGCACTGTTCCAAAAAACTTACTTATGTTTGAACATTGTGCCCCTTCTTGACACCCATGGATGATCACTACTGTTACGGTAGACTCCAATCCATGCTTCATGTATGAGAGAGTCCAGAAGTTTCTAACAGAAAATAAAAAAAATTCTCATGTAAGTAACCATTATGATAGACTGTATTAGCGCCAAAAGTACAAATAGTGTATTTTTCATAAGATCCTTAATTTTTAAAACAATATACTAAACTTAAAAAAATTTCTGTAGTGTCTATATTTTTTGTGTAAATTCAAGATATTCAAGCATGTTTTTGTTACATGTATATATTGCCTTGTAGTGAAGTTCAGGGTTGGAGTAAAACCATCATCTGAAAAATGTACATTGTACTCATTAAATAATTTTTCATCCATCATCCCCTCCCACTTTCTGTCCCTTCAGTGCTTTCAAGGTCTGTATTTCATTCTTTCTGTCCTTTTGTACCCGCTATTTATCTCCACTTACATATGAGAACATATGGTATATGATTTTCTTTTTCTTACTTATTTCACTTATGATAATAGCCTCCAGTTTTTTTCCTGTTGCTGCAAAAGTCATGATTTGCTTTTTTGGGTTGTGGAGTATGTCATAGGGTATGTGTCTGTTTGTATGTGTTATTGTGTATGTGTGTGTGTATATATATATATATAAACACACATACATATGGTATATGTGAAAATATATACATATATATGCATAATACATTTTTATTCAACCACTTTTTAATGGACACTTAGATATATTCCATATCTCTGATGCTGTGCATAATGCACCAGAAAAAGTAAAAGTGAGTGTTTCTTTGTGATATAATTTGTTTGCATTTGTGTAGACACCCAGTAGTGTGATTGCTGGATTAAATGATAGTACTGCTTTTATTTTTGAAAAATCTGCAAACTGTTTCCCATAGATGCCATACTAATTTACCTTTCCACCAACAGTGTATAATGTTCTGTTTTCTCCACATGCTTGTGGCATCTGTTATTTTTTTCCCTTTATAGTCATTTGGACTGGTGTAAGTTGGCATTTCATTGTAATCTTCGTTTACATTTATTTGATAATTAGTGATTTTGAGTATTTTATATGTTTGTTGGCCATTTTTACATTTGTTTTTGAATAATGTTTGAAATGGAATGGTGATATGCTTTGAAACCTGAGGCCCAGGGCTCAACAGAGTGGCTGGATATCTTCAAATCTCCACCAACAGAGAAAATGAAGTATGTCTGCCATTCCCTAGCACCTGACTTAGCAATATTTGTAATATTAAAACACAGGCCAATGGTTTTTGGAAAGAGGTAGTGGTGATGAGAACATATACAAGAGTAGGACTGGTGCTGAAAACTTCTGTTTCATGATGTTTGTATTTCATGAGTCTATTAATTTTGTGATCATCCTGCACAATTAAGATATACTTAGCTTCTTTCATATACAGTAAAATTAAATAGAATGATGTGTTTTAGAATTAAAGCATGTGTGGAAGTATGGTTTCTATGAAAAATCAGTGAAATATGCATTAACAGAAGGTGAATACAAAAAAACTATTTTCAAGTCAAGCAATATAATCTACTTAGTTGAAAACAATCCAACAAAATATGTACAAGAAAATAGATTATTTCCTCAAATGTTTTACTGGCTGCAATAAGCTTTTAATAAGGTATTTGAAACATTTAAAGTCATACCATTTCTAACTCAAAATCTATATAATGCAGACTGGAGTTCATAGAAGCACAGGTCATCACACTCTCATCCCATGTTTTTGTTTCCTTTCCAATGTAGTAACAGCTGTTGGAATATGTAAACAATTCCTCTGGACAACTACAATTATACGCTGAGGAGACATTGTAAATTACCCACAAACAATATGAATACTTTAAAATGACACTTACAGTGTAAATTTGCAAAACTATGTCATGTACGTACATAACATATCTAGGTATTCTCATAGGATGGTACATATGATTAAAAACCCACTGACTCAAACACGTACACACTGTAAAGCAGCAGCCTTTCCTCCGCTAATTGTGTTCACACGTGAAACAAGCCAGCAGACTAAAGGTCATATTAAACACATCTTTAAATCACTAAACAGACATACCTTTTTTTTATAAGAGTAAAATTATTTATCTCATGATTTTATAGCAATAGGAAATTTCAACAAATACAAAAAAGGGTATAGTGTTTATGAATTAGTATTTATATTCATTGCTAAAGAAAAGAAAATAAGCTCCTATATTCTTTATTTACAGACACCTAGGGCTAAATTTTATAATTTTTCTCCTGAATATATCTCTGGTGATTTTTTCATTTCAAAAGAACAATACAAAATTAAAACTCTTTTATTTTAGAACATTGGAAATCATTACGTACCTTTCTGTTTGCTTTCATTTTGGAAAGAATTGGTCTGCTTCTGTGTTGCAGTCGCTAGAAAATTTAAAACAATCTTTTACAAAATTAATATATGAATAAGTCATAATAATGTTAGTTCTTTGAAATTTGGTATATTGTTCAAATATAGAAAAATATGGAATTGTTCAACAAAAAAATATATAAAGTAATTGAGATTTTGAAAAAATATTTAAATAGTGCAAAGAACCAAATTCAATATCTCATACAGTACTTGATTTAGCCAACTTTCAAGAATTAATTTCTATTTCTCAGTAAGGTTTTTCAATTTGTAAAACATCTTTTGGAGTTTGAAATCAGAACACATACATCTAATTTAAAGCAAATACTTTTAAATAACTATTCTTTCATTTATCCTTTTTACAAATTCAGAACAATCATTCCACATTTAATTCAAAAGCAAATGTAAAAATGAGAATTCTATTCTTCAATATTTCAAAATATTTAGAGGCATTTCTATTCATTTAGGTGAAAAGCACTCCTTTATTTTTCCAAAATATACTTACAATGAATAATAACTATTGTTACCATGGTCAGTATTAATGCCAAACAGATAATATTCAGGATATCAGCAATGAGCTTCTCTGTAGGTGACGATAAATCTATAGGACAAGAAATAAAAACACAGAGAAAAGACAGATGGAGATAGTTATTGAGAAGATTTGCAGACAAGAGAACCCACATGCATAAGGATCATATAGATAAACTTGGACACCAAACTGCATAACCCCCAATAAAGTTTTTCTTAGAGAGTACCATTGCATTTTGAGTAAATATAATGCTCTGTGATTTGCTGGACAAAAACTATAGATTTCCACAATGTCCGGGTAAAAATAGCATCCATATTTCATTTTTAAATACCATAACTCGTCCTGTAACTCTGATATTCACAAATAAAAAATATGTGAACACTACCTGCTCTTTTCCCATATCCTGTTACCCAAGCTGCTCATTCTGTACAATTACACTGGGGAGCTATGAAATGCCATACCTTTGCTGTGGAGAGTTTTGTCATTGTCAAGAAGATCCTGAGAAGCAGTTTGAAGGCTTAATTTCACATAGGTTATTTCCTGTTCAGTTACTAAAATAGAGCTTTTTTTGCCCTTAGACTTTCTCTCCTGGTTCTTCGGGTTTGGGGGCAAATTGAATTTGGAGTAGATTATCTGTGTTTATCCATCTTTCTTGCTGTGTGTTATCAGGAACTCTTCTGTATAATAACAGTGCTTTAGAGGCTAATACATAGTTTATAATGACAACATGCCTAGCACAGTTCAAAAGGAGCAAAATGGAGAGAAAGTACACATACTTAAGTTTCATTGAGGAATCTACATTTTTTGCAGTAATTTCCTTAGACTTAAACAACTTTCTTATAGAAAGATATATTTTTATAAAGGTTATGCTTTTCACAAAAAATATTATTGCTGGGGCAATGAAAAGCAATAAATTAGTAAACTAAAAAAGAAATTCATGGATAAATACATTAGTTAAGTGTGATTCACAAATATATTTTAAGGTCAATACAAGACAATACCTGTATTAAAATTTTTAATATAGTTTACAGTAATTTTGAAAGTCAAAGTTTGTTAAGACTTGTCTGAACATGGAAAACATGGATGTTGACATATATATTATAGTTTTGCTAATCAACTTTTATATGATAGCTTGCAGTCATTTATTGAAATGAATTAATGGTTGCAAAATGGTTTTGAAATACTGATGAGTTCTGATAAATTATTAGGAATGTAACAAATTTTATTTTTTAGAAAATATTACATGATATAATAAACATGCATAATAGTATTGGAGTGATTAAAACTTTTAAAAAATACTTATTTCATAGATGTACTGGCTATTATTTCCTGGCTAAAATGTAAAGTCATAAGACAATATATAAAAATATAAATCATTTATGTAGAAACTCTCTTGGTTTAACATTACAAAAAGATTCCTTGACTGTCAAAATGTGTCAAGGTCATTTTAGTTATGTATTTGCAATAATTCAGATAATTTAATCTAATAATTTAGTCAATGGAATCTGGAGACAGAGAGGTCTAGAATTAGTTCTGACCTTGAAGTTTATAATGTGTGCCCTTTAAAAGTTATTCAGTATCTAATAACCCAGCTTATCAATGAAAATGAGCATAAGAGCATATAAAATGTAATGCATGTAAAGCATTTGCCAAATTGGCACATAATGTTTTCAATAAATATCATCTATTTTAATTATTACTTACATCACGATTGCTATGTTATTTTTTCCGATTCATGTCAGTTGAAGCATGAAAAATAAATCATTAGAGAAGTACCTTACAGAAATGTGATATATACTTTTGCAATATTGCTACCAACTTTTAAAAAGTATTTTCAAAACATTTTTAATGAAATTTAGTATTTTATGCAATCTACTTCATACTCGTTTATTAAAAAATAAAAATTGATTTTATTAAATCTACTTTAGAGTCTGATAATAGTGTATTTAACTTTCATTTATTTACTTTAACAATCTCTGTACAATAGCTAACTTATACATAATTTTTATGTTATTCAAAGATACGCAATGTTCTGGTTACAAAAATAGAAAATTACTTGATAGTTATATTTACAGGTTACATAAATAATATTGACTAACAAACCCAAATACTTGTGAATGCAATTAACTACTTTCCACAGAAAATAATTTGAAAACTTTAAGAAATTCTTCAACATATTTTACATTCCAGGGATCTATCCTGACTTACTCAAATAAATATATCAAATATACACTTTGATTTTATTGTGTTGAATTGTACCTCCATTACATCAAATCTAATGTTTGCAATCTCCCACTAAATGAGGTAGGCTAGTAGAGAGATGGAAAGTTGCTGCACGTACCTTCTGTTCCAGAACGTCACAAATCCTTTAGTGGAAAGGCTGGACTAAAAGGTGATATTTAAAGGCATATATACAGAACAAGTAGAAAAAATGTCTGTGATCTTCACAGACTGCCCTGTGAAGGCTTAGAATGAGGTTCTTAAGAATGGAAAAAGTTGATTTCTCATCAATCTGTCACTGAAGTGCTTGAACAGGAAATTCTCATGCATGGGCTATTTTGAAATAAGTTTTCTCATTACAACCTCCAAACTACAGGAGATTTGAGCTCTTATTAAATGGACAAAATAGACTTTGAAAATGTGTCATTAATTGTTCATTTTCAAGTGCCTCTGAGAAACTGTTTTTATATTCTACAAGCCATGGAGTGTAGAGAGTTACTACATATATAAACTTTTTCGATCTCGATCACAAATGTTGCCAACTTAAACCTTGTTAAGAGTGTTTCAGCAGTTTAAAAACCAATTTTAGAAGAGAGTGCTCAATTTTAAACATTGCGTATGTCTTTTTTTCATATCCTTAATATGTGACTCTATTATGATAGAATAAATTATAAAACTTATGATAACATTATCAACAAGTATTTACTGATATTAGTCACCAATTATTATGAGAAATTATTACATTTCCAACTTACAGTAACTGGCACAGACACCATCATCGACAAAGTTATATTCTTGACTTCTCTGCATTAGTTCTTGAATTCTTGCATTTGATTTTATTTTTGAAAAAAAGTATTTAATCTTTTAATTCACCTTGTTAAAAATAAATGTATCTGGGAAGCATTAAACATTAATGATAGTAAAATAGATCATCATGCCAGATTATAACACACAACAAAATTTATTTTCAGACTCATGCAATCATATTACTTCCATTTAATGCAATATATTACTCCAAACTCAGGTGCTTTAATACTAAAGTGTATGCTTACAACTATATTTTTGTGAAGATCCACACCTACATGTGGCTCTAGTGCACCTGATTATAGTACTACACATTATGCTGACCAGGATCTGATTCTCCTCCCTAGTAGTGAATACAAATTGATAATTCTGTTATATTTTATAGGATTTTTGCATGAAACAAGATCATTTTTCCATATATTGTAAGAATGAATACTATGAAACCAGATAATGGCATTTTTCATAATTATTACAAAGAATTGATTATCACGAAAACTGAATAGAGCAGTTTCCTCTTATCCTGGTGGGAGACATTGACCCCAGCAGATGCCTGAAATCCCAGATAGTACAAATCCCTGTATAAACTATGTTTTCCTTATGCATACAAACCTACAATAAAGTTTAACTTATTATAAATTATTCTTACACAAGAGATAAACTATAACCATAATATAAAATAATAACTATAACAATATGCCTACAACACTACTCTACCATTTGGGACCATTATTAAGTACTAAAATGCCTTGAACACAAGCACCACCTTGGCAAGACATTCCATCTGATAACTGAGACAGTCACTAAATGACTAATAGACAGTAGCATAGACAGTGTGACTCTGGCAAAGCAATGACTCATGTCCCAGATGGGACAGGTGCTTACTCCAGAAAGTTGTTCATACTGCTCAGAACGTTACACAATTTAAAATTCACTAATTGTTTCTAAAATTTTTAAAAATATTTTTAGGCTATGGTTGATCCTGAGTAACTGAAATCACAGAAAATAAAATTGCAAAGAAGTAGGGCCTACTGTAATACATTCTTTAATATTTTTATCAAATTTTACTAATTTAAAATTTTTCTTTATGGCTGTAATTCATCTTACACTTATTATATTATTCTTTGAATTTATCCTTTTATGCTTTTTCTTCTATATACACCATTAAAAATTGTACTTGTGTTTGAAAATTGAGTCATTTTTTTGACAACCAAGGATGATCACTTCTGCTATCACAGATTCCAATTCATACTAGCAGTTACAGGAAGTCCAGAAGTTTCTAACACAATAAATGGTATTCATGGTAATAATAATTTAGGCCTCAAGCTGCCGCTGCCCATGGAGGACCTCGGCACCCTCCCTCAGAGATCCGGTGCCCTCCCAGGCTGAAGCGCCCCACCTGGTCCCAAGTCACCACTCTCCGCAGAGGTCCTCGGTTCCCACTCCTTGGAGCTCTGGGTGCCCTCCCTGACTAAAGCACCCCTCTCTGCCCCAAGCTGCTGCCACCCAAGGAGCTCCAGCCTCCCTCCCTGACTGCAGAACCCAGCCACGCCCCAAGCCTCCACCACCCAGGGAGTCCTGCAGCTCCCTCACCCTGGAGCACTGGGCTTCCTTGTTGGCTGTACCACCCCACCCCCAGCCACCGTGCACACTATACTGACCGGAAACACACAGTAGTCTCAAACTCCGCCTCCTTCGACACCCCTGGCCACAGCAGGACCAGAGAACAGCTGGAGCTCGGAGACCACTGAGAGACCTGCATTGCCCCTTGAGCTCCACTCAGCTCTGTGCAGCCTCCAGCTTGGGACCTAGGAACAAAGAGAGAAAAAGAGATCCAAGCTGCATGTGACAGGCCAACCCACAGCACGCAGCTATCTCACACTCTGCCTGCTCCAGCTGGACCTGGCTGCAGTAGAACCAGAGATATCTGGAGCCCTGTGACTAGGCAGAGACCTGCAGTGCCTCGCACACACAGTTGTGCCCAGCTTCCAACTTGGGATCTAAGACCTAGTGTTTGTGTAAGGGAATAGTACATCATAAGGAATTTGGTCAACTTGTCTGTCTGTATGATTGTATGTCCTAGTTTGTTTGTCCTAATTATCGCTACTGTTTTTTTGTTTGTGTTTTGTTTTGTTTTTTCCCTCTTACTTTTATCTGACTTCAGGACTATTTTCATTTATTAGTGGGTATCTTTATCTCTTTCCTGTTACTCTTCTCTGTGTCCACCTTCCACTCCTCTCATACCCTAGCTCAATTTCTTTCCCTTTTCTTACATAATTTTACTTTCAGGGAGCAAACAAATATTCCCACTTCATGAACAGATTTGCAAGGCAGTGGGACGCAGGTTCCAGTGTATCCATACACCTGTCAGTGGATACTGTGATCTGCAGATAAATTTTGAATCACAGTTTCCCCATCAAATAAAACTCAAAACTGCAAAAGGTATAGCCCCCAACCTATATTCCAGCTTCAGACTCAAACAAAGCCAGAGGATTCACACAAGGAAGAATAGGAGATTGAGCCAACAGAAGTAAAAACAACCCAACCACCCCTGAACAACAGATTTAAAGAAGACAGAAGAAAAAAAGAGAAAAGTGGGAGGAAAACCCACACAGATGAAGAAAAACCAAAAGAAGAATATGTCTCACACAGACCCGTGGGAGATCAGATAATGAGGAAACAGAATTCACAATGCAAACAATGAAGAGCCCCCAGAATGGTCACAGACTGCAAAACCAGACATCAATATATTAATAGAGAGAATAAAAATAATTGAAGAGACACAAACAAAAAATAGGAAGGAGTTGATAACTGAGATAACAGCAGTAAAGAATACTGTGATTGAAATAAATAACAAACTAATAAGCACGGAAAGCAGAATTAGCCAAGCAGAAGACAGAATCTTTGAAATGGAAAATCAAAATATAGAACTAAACTAAACTGCCAAAAACATTGAAAAGAAGATTAAAGACAGACAAAACCTTCTTGAGATGAGTGATTACTTCAAGAGAATAAACCTAAGAGTAATCGGACTTCCTGAGGCAGAAGGAGAGACAGAGACCACCCTGGAATAAACATTCCATGTTATTATTCAAGAAAACTTCCCTCACCTCATCAGCGATGCTAAAGTTCAAACACGGGAGATTCAGAGAACCCCAGCAAGACAACAAATGAGAAGACCAACTCCTAGGCACATAATAAATTGCCAGAACAAAGTAGGTATAAAAGAAAAAATCCTAAAAACAGCAAGAGAAAAAGGTCAGACTATCTACCAGGGGAGACCAAGTCCAATAACAGCATATTTATCTACAAAAACACTTCAGGCTAGGAGAGCGTGGAGTACAATATTCAAAGTTCTCAAAGATAAACAATTTCAACCAAGGGGGCCTGTGTGAGACTTGCTGCAACAGCCACCTTTTCTGGAGGCAGTTGCAGTGGCGGCAGCAATTGCATGGGTCTGCCTGCAGCAGCCAATCCCTTTGGAAACAGCTGTGGCTCATTGCATGGGCCTGACTTCAGCAGCTGTTCTCTGTGGAGATTCTCACAGTCCTACTTGTCCCATCACCATCTTGCTGGAAATCTCGAAATTAGTTTATTATTTTTCCTCTGCAGCTAGTATAAATAGAATGTCTGATTTTTTGTAATTTCAAAGCATATTCCATGCTACCTCTTAAAGATTGAATCTAAAATCTAGAGAAATAAAATTTAAATCTCTATTTGTTTCCTTGGCATCAGAACAATTACTTGAGCCTTCCAAGAGAATGGTTAATATGGGCTAACTATATAAATATTTCTGTTAATTATATTTTAATATATTTGTATGAACTAAATTAGTAATCTGATATTTGTGCTTATGTACATGTGTGCATTTCTATTAGAAATGAATTTACTTATATGTACATTGTAAATTACATTGATATCTTTTCTAGTAGTCAAAATATAACAAAATTATTCATTACAAGTGCCAAATAATGTAACACTCGCTAATGTTCTCTTTTTAAATTTGAGATACTAACATCTACCATTTTTATGAACATCCACATAGTATTTTTCAATTAAATAACATAACATTCATGTATTGCTTAATGATGAGGACATGTTCTGAGAAATACAAGATTTGACCTTTTTTTTTATTTTGTGAACTAAAAGGAGAGCACTTACACAAACCTAGGAAATATAGCCTACTATACACCTTTGCTACATGATTTAGTTAATGACTTCTAGGCTACAAACCTGTACAGTGTGCTACTCTATTGAATATTGTAGACAATTCTAAAACAATGTCAAGGATTTTTATATTCAAACATGGAAAAGATTATGTTAAAACACTGTATAAAAGTTAAAAAACGGTGTACTCTACAGGTGACTTAACACAAATGAACCTTGTAGGACAGGAAGTTGGAAGTTACTCAGGGTGTCAGTTAGTGAGTGCTGAGTGACTTTAGAGTCCAGGACATTACTTTACACTACAGGCAATTGCATAAAAATTGTGCACTATGGCTACAATAAAGCCATAAAAATATTTTTTTCTTCAATAATAAATTAATTTTTGCTTACTGTCACTTTTTTCTTTATAAACTTTATATACAAGTTAATGACTCTTGTAATAATACATCTTAAGACAAAAATACATTGTATAATACAAATAACATTTTCTTAATATCCTTATTCTATTAACTTTTTTCTATTTGCCAATTACTTTTTACTGTTTTAAGTTTTCAAAATTTTTATTAAAAGCTAACACCGGAGTGCACACATTAGCCCGTGCATCCACAGGGCCAGGATTTTCAATATTACTTCCTTCCACTTCCGCATCTTGTCCCACTAGAGGGCTTTAGGGGCAAAACATGCATGGGGCTGTCACCTCTGTGATAACAATGCCTTCTTCTGCAACACTTCCTGAAGGATCTGCCTGAAGCTGCTGTTCTACAGTTAACTGTTTTTTATAAGCAGAAGGAGTGCACTAGAAAATAAC